TTTTCTACCCGCAAATTTGTTAATTATACAGTAATTAGAATTGCAATATCACCAAGAATGTGTGTCCGTGATATTGCAAGTCGCAAATAAAGGTGACAAAACAGTGAAAAAATCTCATTTTTTACAATTTCACTCAATTCGTAAAATAGTAAACACGATTGTTTTTTCTTAATATTTGTAGTGGAAAGCTATGAACGTTTTTTATTACCTTAGTGTTGTTAAAAATTATTCAATTTTTCTTGTCCGTGTCAATTCAGTGTTTCGCTATTTAGTGTTTCCATGACCAACAGACAATCTACGAAGAATATGGAAAGCTATACGAAGGAAATGTTCTTAAAATGTTCGTTGTTATTGTAACTGATTAGTTCAATGTTGTATTGTCCAGTGCTTTCAGTTTTCCATAGTTTGGAATGGAAATATAGTTTCCAAAAGCGGTATGTAATTAGTATGCAAATGAACTTTCCGCTTTTTCACAAGCATATCCGATTTTACATCAATATACACTTAATCTAAATTATTCGAGTTATGAAAGCCTCCAATTTAGTTTCAGCTTTTTCATGCAAGTTTGGAACCAGAAATTGGGATCGTGATAGTCACGTGCAAGAATGATAAACCCGTGTCCAGTATTTCATTTGAAGCAATGGTTCTCAGGTTGCCCATAACATTGTTTTTTTAACCGAGCAGTAGCTACCCATGTCAGATTCCAACTTGTCTTGAGTATTCTAATTTAGCAATACCGAAGTGACCAAATATTAACTTATTTTCAGACACCGTGTGGATGCGTGCAAGAGAGATAAACCCATATCCAGTATTTCATTTGAAGCAACGATTTTCGGATTGCTATATAACCATTTTTAAACCAGATATTGAAACGATTCCATGTCTGAATATTCAGTTATTTAACACAGAGCATTCCCTGGCTAGAAGGATAATATATCATGTCCCAAGAGATATCAGCGACAGAGGTCACTTGGTTTCGGATTGCAAGGAAAGAAAATGTATTCAGAAATCTTTCTACGGCTCAACGAAATGCAAGAAAATTTTTTTTTATACGAGCCTTTCCCTCACGCTGCAGTTGGATGCTAGGAAGTTAAATAAGAATAAATAATTTAATGTTCGTGATATATGACTCAAGACCATTATAATCATTCTTATAAATAATGCGAGCCGATGTGAATACATAATTCTCTCGATATGAATAATTATATTGAACAAAAAATTGAAATTAGAATGAAGAATTTAGAGCTAAGAACCATATTATCCCACCAATCATCATATGCTTGTTTTATTCTTCGTGGCCAGGTAATACTGAGAAAATGACTACATATACTATACATCACACAGAAATCACACAGAACAAATTATTAAAACTGAATAAAATACTCATATTATTGTAATTGTCTTTCACATCTTATCATATTTTATAATAATTATTCAGTCCACATTGTTTGTTAAAATTGTATTAAATTACCATGAGTATTTAGGAAAATAGAGAATTATGGTTTTTCCACAAATCCGTTCTGCTATTTAAATGTCTTGTAGTCCTACTATTTTTTTCATATGTCACTTTATTATGACCCATTCTTTGTTTTGCAGTATTGTTATAACAAAGTTTACCAAGATCATGGAATGGAATGATGATTATGGAATTTTTTATCTTCCCGAAAGAAAAACTGTTTTTGTAAACAAAAATTCCTAAATTTGGGACAAACAGGACAAGTGTGGGCAGACTGGACAACTTTTTTGCAATTAATACAAGTGTTGGACACGCAGGATGAGGTTGAGAAAATCTGTCGGCGATGTTTTGTTGACATTGGTCAAACGATTCAATTCTAAGAAACCCTAGAAAAATAGTATTGCATGGAGCGCAACTTCCCACAAAAAATCAAATATTTAGAAAATGCAGTTAATACTACTTTGCTTGCTTTACTCGTCTTTTACATTAGCCAAATCAGGTAAAACATCTCCAATATTTGGAATAGGATAATGAGAAAGTCTTAAAGCATTATTTAGGTCTTTTGGGTCCAAACAAATCCGGCTAGGGTTTTAAACTCCTACCATATTGCTAATCCAGTCGGTAGGTGTGGTAGCTTTAGCAATTACCTCTCTATTCTCTAATTCTGTAAGTTTCTTCAGAAGATCATTGCGCATTGCAAAGACAATTCTACGAGGTTGATGCTTTAACAGCAGAACTTTGCTAACTATTTCTAAATGATATTCCCCCGGAAAACAACCTAGACATTCAAAGACATTAGCGTACTTTTCTAAAATATCATCAACAGTTACAGGATTCTAGTGATGTTTAGCCACGATAGACTGTACCGTGCCTTGACTCTTGGGTACATGGTGCCTCTTGCAGAAGTTCCAATTCTTCTTACGTCTGAGCGAAAAGCGAAGGATGTGGGCCTCTTTCTACAACTATGAGAAACAAACTGTAAATCTTACCGTTGTGTTGGCATAGCAGGTCGCATTGCCCAATCGGCTTCAGCAAGCGACCATCATGAAACTTCAGTGTTACACTGCTTTCTTGTAAGGCTGGATTCTTTGAACCTAGGACTATACAACAATCATTGCAGCTTTTCACATTATTGGTTCAGCCACTATCGAGCATACATTTAAACAAAACTGGTTTCCGACTGCGTTTCGCATGCAATTTTAAATTAACAAACCAGCGTACACCTCTAGACTGAATACTTCCAACAGTCTCAAAATTATAAGCTGAGTCGCTCGTTATGTTGACATAAATATTAGCAGAATAAGGTTTTCGATTACTTTGCTTAAAAACAACAGCAAACTAATTTTTCTTATGGCAAGCGTTACACAAAGCGCCATATGATACGCAGAATCTAGCCCCACTTTTGTGATTTCTACCACAAAATTTGCCCGATATATCAGCTGTGTTGTTACCAGTAATTAATCTTCTCTGTTTGTATCCATGCTTCGATTTTTTCTCTCCATTAAATGCTTCCACCTCTTCATGGTCTTCCGTCATGTCGACTTTTTTTCATTTGTTCATCGGCCATCCCATTACTGCGACAAAAATCCTAATTTTGTCCCTTATTAGCTCGTCAGTCACTCCAACGGCCAGTTCCAAATTTACACGTCGATGTTAGTTCATTAAGTTTAGTGACATAATCATATATTGATTTATCTAGTCTCTGGTCGCACGTATAAAAACATACAACATTTCTAGTAGGTTCGAAGTGTTTATCTAAAGCGCTCAATATAGATTTCAAACTTTTTCTATCTTCTTCAAAAATGTCAACATGTTGGTGAATTTTGTAGCAATCGTTACCCATTTCTCCGAGAAATGTGGCGATACGAATTCTAACGGACTTTTTTCTACGCCAGTTGCTATTTCATAATTCTCCGATTGTGATCGGAAGAAAAACCAATGGACTGCTGCATTTCAGTCGATTTCCACAGCCAAAGGTGCGGGAATACTATTTGTCGCCATTGAGCATAAAATATAAACGTACCTTCTCGAAGTAGGACTTACTAGTACTCTTCATTCCCGTATGTTTCACAGCTTTTTGTCGAGTCTGAAGCATATTGTCGATCCGTCACCGCTTTTGACACTATGTTTCGTTCTTTATCTAGCTTTACGGGTTGACTCGACACTTGACTCAACATCGCCAACCTATAATTTCAGTAAATATAAAATGCACGCACAGTAGAATAATTACAATACAACTATACCACGTTCAACAAGGACAACCAAGAACATTGAACAGCGCTATAGGGTATATTACGTCATCTCGTAACAGGTAGTACGCGTTTTTTTTAAAGCTTTTTATATGATTTTATTCAAATTTTGTGACCATGCTATTTATAAGAATCGCGCAATAGGATCTCACACTGCTCAACTTAATATGACATGCAGCCTTATTTGATATAACTGTATCTGCCTTCAAAACGGTGTCAGTAGTTATTCATAGCCTCTAAAGCCAGACCTGCACAAACTCTTACGTATCATCACATACACATACCACATCACAGACACATACCGTCTCTGTACGTTGTGCGTCACCATTTTGCAAAAAAAAATCATCATCAAATACCAAGATATAACAGTTAGTTGGACAATACAACGCATAAATAGTAAAGAAAAAAAGAAAAGAAAACTTCCATGTGTATTATAAACGGAGGATCAGTACATAAGATCAGGGATATAAAAACGTGTATTGGATAACAGTAGGCTCCTTTTGCGAGTTACGTTATTAGAATCTACAAAGAATGTTCATACGCGCCAAATTTTCTTTGAACCAATGAAAGATGAATGATTCAACCTCAAGTTAACTTTCCATTTGTTCATCAATAAGAGTTTCATTAGTTTAAAATTAATATTACATGTGATTAATCGCTTTTCGTTTTTGTCATTTTCTTTTTATAGTGTACTACTAGCTTACTTGTGTGTGAAAAAGATCGTTTCATGTAATGATCATCAATTGCATATATCGAACTGTATATGAAGTAAGGCATCAAATAATGGACACCGAATTTGTACTATTTGAAAAGAACCTATCATTAAATGACATGATTCAAACAAAATATTGCTTCAATTGAAAAAAAGTTACAATAAAGTTTCCGCGAACAACTTTAGGATTATCCAAAGTATTTTGGCAATATATTTTCGAGAAAATACATTATTGTTGGCTGCCTATTGGCTATTGTAATAAACTCCATTCAATTCATTAAGTTTTGTCTCTATTTGAAGAATTCATATAAGAACATAAATTTGCCTGCAATTTCACCGAAATTGTGATTGTATAACGTTTTCGGATAAAAATTCTAACAAAATACTCTTCCCAATAAAATATTGGTTTTAAAAAAGAATTCCATCAGTGGAACGATGTGGTATTTTGAGTGTATAGTTAAACGGAAATTGCGGAAATGCGTCGAAAAAGTAGTCTTAATTAAGTGTAATGTAATTGTTTCCTCTCCGCGTTCCAGATATTTCCGTTGGTGTGTTAGGTACAATAGTACCCGCACAAAATAAAGCGAATGCTCAAAAGTTTCTGGAGTCATTTTAGACTTCTCACTCGTGTACTCGTATTCCTCTGAAAGCCTGTGCTGGACGACATCATGTTGCGTTTAGTAGTTGTTTTAATGTGCATTTGTGGCTTCTTTATCGTTCAAGGTATTTTTTGTATTTTTCACTAATTTGAATACATAATATTTATGTCGTTTATTTTGAAACAAAAAAGACTGAAAGTAATCAATGTCTCTTTTAATTTAACAGGGGGTTCTTCGACTAAGTTAAAAAGGTCACTAGATGGTGAGAAAAAAAAACCTTTAATACTATTTCAATATTGTAGATTAGGATTTGAAAACCAGGAATCAAATATTATAATAAATTCATAACATAAATTATTCCAATCTTTCCATTTAGTTATAACATAACCATATATTAATTTAACTACGCGATACAAAGACTACTGAGCTATTCCACTCCTACACCTGTTAGTTTCGATCTATTGCGCAAGCTTTCGCGGAATTCTTCAAAATAAATTTGTTTTAATAATTGACAATTTTCAGAGCGTGATCATGATCATGATCTTGATTCGATTTGGACGAAGTTTTAGCGGCATGTTACGTAAATAAAATGCACCATTTGAGTTTATCTTGTCTGTGTAGGTGTTTTAACAAAAGAGACCAGAGATGTTCTCTTTACATCGTTTCTTAACTAACGCCGATTTTCCTTTTTTATCGAAACCACATTAAAATAATAATATTACATGTACTCCTGATAAGTTTTCCGTTGGAGATGTTTTTTGCACTGATTTGGTTTGCACTTAGTTTATTGTCATTTCAATTCATTTCTCCGCTTGTTGTTCAACAAAATATTTGTTTCATATGTATCAAAATTAAATTTGTTAAAAACATCTTGAAACAGTTTAACTGTAATTTGCTCACTGAGTGACTTGACCGAATAGAACGTAACCCGTAGCCGAGCACACAAAAAGTCGACGTCATTATCTGCTCAGAATCCAGAGTGGGACAAAATATTTCAAGTATTGAAGATGGCCAATTCAACATTCAAACATGATTTTAAAAGTAGATGTAAAATGGTGGTCAAAACAAACTTTTAAATTCTTTCGATTTATTTACGCAAACTCCAGATACCTCAAAATATTGCGCATGTCCTCCAGGATATGTTCAAATTAGTTACACAAACGACTCTTGCATACTCGTTAATGACTGTCCAAACGGAGAGTTTGAGTATTTGCAAATATATATCACAAATAAACGTGTTTGAGTGAAAATGATGATAAGAAAATGTTGCTTATATCTTCTTGGTTGATTTTCTAGATAATTTCAGTCGGCAAAAGAGGTTTATCAATTTTGGATCAGTGTTTCAAGGGTCGAAAAATTTCATTGGAAGTAAGTGGCAACAAATTAATTCTGCTGTTTTCAATTGTTATGAATGAATGAGCATTTTATTTATAATATTTATAGGTTTGATGACAAGTTGTCCTAGTGGTATGGAGTACACCAGCTGTGCTTCCAGTTGTCCTGCTTCCTGCGATGATCTCTCTCCTATTTGCGAAGACAGATGTGAAAAAGATGTCTCATGCGCTTGTAAAGAAGGAACAGTATTTCAATCCAAAGAAAACAACACTTGTGTTGAAATAGCATCCTGTCCAGAAAGAGGTGTCTTTTGACTTGATAATTACCGCACCAACCTTGACTCGGTTACTTCCAGCTGCATGTGGCATCATCAGTTTTAATTTACAAATGCTTCTATTGTGATATACTATAAGTTTTGATGCATATCTTTCCCACAGTAGAAAATGATCAACTAAATTATACTCGTGATTCTGTTATCAATTTCTGCAATCTTCATTTCAGGATTTTTTGAGCAACTTGGAAAGATGATTTCACGTGAGGTGTCTTGGCATAAAAGGTTTTTCCAAAGTATGCTATTTTCTGAATATATATTTATTATTATTTAAAGAACAATATTGAAAAATAATACATTTTTACCAAAAGTATCAGGTGCTCGACAAAATTGATCTAAGGCAAGGGTACTGTGAAATAATAATTATATTGCTACTAAGAATGTTTTATGTAATATAAATCTTATCTTCGTACAGGATTATTTCATATATGCCCTGGTCCTAAGGTATTTATGAGCTGTGGACCAACATGCAGACCGACATGCGAAAATCCATTTCCTATTTGTGATTTTGAGCAAGTCACAGATGAGAATGATTCCTTCGATTGTGACAAAGACATATTTTGCGTATGTCCCGAAGGATACATCGAACAAAGCCACGAAAACTCTACATGTGTGGAAAAGAAGCCCTGTGAAGATCGTTTTGCGTAAGTCGATACGATGGGAAGAAATTGCATTTTGTTGGAAAATTGTTTGCAAAAATTAAAATTTCATATATTTTGTAATTAAGGTAATCTACGCAGAATGATTCAAAATTAAAGTAAAATCAAGATGAAACAGAAGAATATATTAGAATTGGTGAGAGGTCAACTAGATCAAGAAAAAGACGTTAAATCGAATTGCAGATTTTTATCTTCTTACTATTTTATTGCATATTGCCGCTGTAAGTTTAATCAAATGTGAACAAACTAGAAAATCACAGAAATTGCAATTAGTTTGTATGTTAACGCTTAACAAAATAATATATATAAATCTATATAAAGGAGAAGGTTTTTTAACAATGAAATACACCAAGAATGCTAATAATGAAAGAAATGAAATGGTTTTGAAGTATTTAAAGTTTGCAAGCTGAAATATTGTTGATCCAAGGTTTATAATCTATGTGCGATTGAATAAAGTGACTAGTTACTAGTATGACTGCAATAAAAGAGTTGAATAAGCGATTCTTTCGAAGAGTATTGGTTATTTTTCAGTTGAAGGGGCCGGTATAGTTATCAAAACAGTTTTACAAATATATTTCTGCACTAAAGACGTCTCAATACACATACTTGTTCGAAAACATCCGCGTTCCCTGAATGCCAATTTACAGCCTTTCACAAATATCTGATTTTATATTGTCTTTCAAAAACATTTGTTTTAATGTTCATCAGATATGAGATATTGTTGAATTTAAATAAATCGTTGCGGTGTGATTAGTGACACAAAAATAAGATTGATTGCTGAACTCTTGCTATAAATTATAACAGTTTCTGCTATATAGTCCTTTATCGGAATAATATAAAAACGCACACTCAAAAGCGCATTACAAAATGCAAATTCCTAATCTTGGCTAAGCACTGGAGATTCAATGAACAGCGTCAAAAACGAACTTGTTTGATTAAACAAGACTTTCATTGCATAGTATATATTCTCAAACAAAGTAAAAATGCAACTCGAATGATGGCAATTTTCTGCAAAATAAGTTTCAAAAATGTGATGTTTTATTTGTAGTTCTTAAATATATCTTATCCCGGCCTATTGCTTTGCAATTTCTTCAAATCAGGTATAATCCTCTCTATTCATACAATAGTGTCTTAAACTATATGTTCGCTTTTTATCCGCCATTACAGCAATTGATACACGTGACCGACTTGGTCTCGCGTGTGAAGGACGGGACGCGAGAATAGCAAATATGAGCTGGAAACAGGGCCAGATTTATCGTTAGGTAAGGTAGGCCGAAGCCAAGGGGCCTCAGCATTCAATTCTGTGGTCCATTTGCCAAACTTCGTTTATATTTGACGTTTTAGTAAAGCATCAACTTTGTCGTCTAACGAGACATTGGCACTCATAAAATATCGTGAATATTTGAGGGAAATTTTTCGAAAAAGTTTTTTTCGCTTCAAATCAGACTTCTCGTATTCTCAAGAAATTGATTTCTTCACTCTGGAGCTTTGTAAGCTAACGATGCTAAAAATCTCCATCGTTATCAGTCGGGTCTGTTCTTAACAGGGATTTTAGCAGTGGCGGCGCGTCAATAGGGCCAACCGGGGCAATGCCCCGGTTGTTTTTTTCGGAATAATAAAAAATATTCGAAAAATACCTCAATATCGGTTGCACAGACTGTCTACACTAGCCATATTCTCCCGACATGGTTCATTTTTCGCTCGCAAAGCCTTCGCCGAACGTCGACGGGGCGACGCCGATTTTGCCCCGGTTGCTCATTGTATATCGTATTCTCTCTTTTATCTTCCACTCGCCGCGTTTGTCTCGTTTGTTTTCTGTTAATACCGAACATTCGGAAATGTTAATATTGCAGCACAGTTGGATGGAGGACGAGCGGTTTCTCTATTCGTCGGCACAACCAAAACGTCGAGAAAAACCGCCATGTTCTCGGTCGTTTGATAGATGTTTTGAAGTTCATTGGTTGTCACGAGCTGTCCCTCTCTTCTAATAGAGGGGTATTTTTGGATATGGTGGAATAAACCGCATCCCTAGATACAGTATTGAGATATCATCTTGATGCCGCACCTGTTTCGAAAGGATCTAATCTAATCTAATCTAAGGATATCCAAAATCATTTGCTCGACTCAATGTATAAAATTTATTTACAACATTTGGCTCTGGAAATTGAGAATTGCCAGTTCCCTTCGACTCAGTCTGACGAGACAACTGACATCACGTGCGTTTCCCAACTGGCTGTGATTTTTCGGTTTGTGAAAGATGGTAAACCTACCGAGAGATTTCACAGCTTTGTACCAATCGTTGATCGCACGGCTTGCGGGATATCGGCTGTACTGAAAGAAGTGTTACAGCCTTACAACGCGAAGTCAAAATTGATAGCTCAAACTTATGACGGCGCGGCAGTCATGAGTAGAGATGTACCGATACCACTTTTTTCGTCGATACCGATACCGATCCGATACCAGCTAAAAACGCCGATACCGATGCGCCGATACTACAAAAAGGCCGATACTACCGATATTCCGATACCGATACTATGTAATTATTACTTAATTAGGTGTGCTGTGTAGGGCAGACGGGTTAAAACAATGGTCTTTGAGCGTTGTTCATAGCACACATTATTTCAGATCGAAAAAGAGATCTATCACATAATATGAAATTGATGTTTGGCATCCAGATGCTTTAACTGATTAGGATACACCGCAATAAAACAAAGCCAACATGAAAGAATATCAATCAGCACCGACAAGAAGAAGGCCTACCCATAACCGTCGAGGAGTTTTTTTTACTTTACTATTTTATAATATTTTACAATTGCTATCATATATTTTGAGACAATCTAGTCTAACTCTAGGCGGTCATGTCAAAATATCTATAAAGAAATTGTGTAGTTAAACAAAATTAAAATTAATACCTGCGTAGACTGATAATTGTGTTGGAATTTAGTTTGGAATTAAAATGATAATAAATGATAGTCGTAATTGACGACAAACAGTCAGAATTTATATCCGTGCCAAAAGTGCATGTGCCGCCAATTCCACTGTATGATTTAAAACTTGGTGCCTACTTGCTTTTTGTTATGTGCTGTGTTGATATATTTCTTCATAATTACTATGTGATATCAAAAATGTCAATATAAAAATTTGACAGCAAAAATAGCCAAATTAGTTAAGCTAGTTTGACTGATGAATAGCTAAAAACGGGTGAATCCTATTCCCTCGCGGGGATGGGGACAAGTATGGCTCATAGCTCACGATCTCTCCAGACAAAAAATAAATTGAAAAGTAGTATTCCAACTTATCTTTTAAAACATTCTGGACCAAATCAAAAAGGTAAATATATCGGAAATATCGGCCTTAATCTAACCGATACCGATACATGACCGATACCGAAATAATGACCGATATTGCCGATACCGATACATCTCTAGTCATGAGTGGGTCGAAACATGGTGTTCAAGTTTATATAAAAGAAGATTTTCCTCATGCGCATTTTTTACATTGTTATGCACACCAATTTAACCTCGTTATTAAAAATATGTGTCTTGATACCCCTCTCGTCCGTATATTTTTTGCAAATGTTTCGGGGTTTTCTTCATTTTTTTCCGTTTCGCCGAAGCGCTCTGACCTCCTTCGCCAGATATGTAGCCGCCGTCTCCTAGCTTGTGCACCAACACGTTGGAACTTCCAATCACGCGTGGTGCAGGGCGTGTCCGAAATTAAGTCTGAGCTCATTGAGTGTTTCAATGGCATTCAGAGCTCTCCGGTTGGGGACGAACGCTCTGTGAGGGAGGCGGCAGGTCTAAAGCGTCTGCTAGAAGATGGTGAGTTTTCATTTTTTCTCGCTTTGTCTCCACAATATTCTATCACGTGGATGTATTATACGGCGCATTGCAGTCAAGGCTAATGGATGGAGCGTCTGTGCAGTCGTGTATTTCAGACTTCTGCGATGCTGTATCTCGTATCCGGGAAACAATAAAATACGACGACACATGGAGTGCTTCTTTACGCCGCGGGCAAACAAAGCAGCGTTTGATTTTGTCTGCAAAGGAATGCTGTGACATTCTGGTGAATCAAATAGGCGATCGTCTGCGCACTGAACACCTTGCCGCGTTCTCTTTGATGAACCCCAAAAAATTTTCAAAATTTGCACGTCAATTTCCCATCCATTTGTTGGCTACTGTCTCCAAATTTTACCCCATGATAAACGTGGGTAAATTGGAAAATGAATTGCGATGTATATACACCAATCAAACTTTTTTGAACATCACATCAACTTGCGCGCTCTATGGGTTCCTCATAGATAACACTCTAGTAACTACCTTTGCGGCGTATGCAAAATTTCTGGACATCATTTTGACGACGCCTATTTCTTCCGCCGACGCAGAGCGAACATTCAGCACGCTGAAGCGTATTAAAACGTATCTCAGAAACACAATGAAGCAAGATAGATTAAATTCCTTGGCTGTTTTATCCATTCACAGAGACGTTATTTCTGGGATGCATGACTTTAATCAGCGCGTTATTGAGCATTGTGCTTCCAAGAAACCGCGGCGTGTTGCATATATGTTCAAGCAGTAGAAGTCTAGCAACATATATATCTATGAGTGAGCGACGCATGTCCTTATCTTTGCATTACCTTTCCTTTCTTCATAGTAACGTTTTAAACCTTATTTTAGGTTTTGTCTGCTTTCCCGAAGTTTCTGTTAATATGTCATTGTATTTATCTGGGTAAATATTGCCTTTCCTTTTGAAAGAGGTTTCAAAATAAACTATGTCTATATTTATTAATCCCTTGACTTGGACCGATTTTAAAGACACTTTCTTATCGTTAAAAATTGTCGCTTTTGCCGATTGGTTGTTACCGATGGAATGGTTTTTATACTCATAAAATGATGGGAGAACTTACAGCGCTCATCCTGTCCCCGTAGATGGGGGTGACTTGGTCCCGCAGTAGCTTGCCCCGGTTGTCAAAATGACCACGCGCCGCCACTGGATTTCAGTTGAACTATTCTCGCTTTGGTGTTTGCTTGCCTCGTGAAAAATTCAGTTATTATAAGAGACTAGCTACACGATCCTGCAAACTGCAACGGTAAAAAGTTGATAGCCATATATGCCTATTTTGATGAAAACCGAAACTATTTTACTGGAAGACAGCTATAATGTACATACGGACTGGCATCGAAAATATATTACCGTATTAATTAAATACCGTAATCTGTTAACGCAATAACGACAATAAGACATCAATTGTAATTTTTGGCAAATCACTCATTCCACTGTCTTACACGGGTAGTTACAAAACGTTGCTTGGGTATCTCATGTATCAATAGACTACTGTTACGTGATTCAAAGGTTCCATTACATTTGAACTATTGCACCTATGGAATTTCTTTTTTGTTTTACGGATATTTGAACCCATACTAACCCCAAGTAACCCATGGGTTTTAGCACCTGCATATAGATTGAACCCGCGGATATACACATGGGTTCAAATGTACGGTCACCGATTCAAATTCAAAAACACAGGAAACAAAAAGTAAGGCAGAGCAAGCCGGCAGGTCGTTGTAAAATCGGCTCGGCCAGTTCGGGCGGCTGACGATGACAAGTGATACGGATGATTGATCACACAATGAATTTTGTTCAACGACGACCGTGCGTAGGATTTCGAGAGAGTGTACCTGTTGGTTTAAAAACTAACATTCGTTTAATTTTTTATTCGTGTTAATAATTCTTGTCACAAATATTTACCGTTTACAGTCGAATATATTAATTTGTATAAATTCAAATACTCTAGCCGTTTAAATTAAAAAACAAAATATACTAATTATATTTAATTGACCAGGTTTGACCCTAATATTGCCTTTATCTTAGAAAACCATTTAGAAACTATCGGGAAATAGAACGAATCTAGGAATTGTTATGGTGCCACGACATTTTCTTACAGTCTTGAGTTTTTTAAACTGTTTTTAAATTGAAACCACTATCCAATCCACTTGAGTATTCAGAATAGGTATTTTGCCTGTAACTAAAATTTCGTATTTTACGCATTTTAAAATTTATTCATTACGATTACGCCATTATATAGGGATGGCGAATCTTTTTTGATGAATGGGTGAAAAATTATATTTTTATTATTGAAAAGAAAAAGTTAGTCATAGATATTTAATCAATCAGTATATTGTCTGAGGAAGTCTGACTCTGGTCGGACGAAACGTTACAGAAATACATTTGTGTTAGTGTGCAGCTGGACTCTTTAATTGAATAGAACAAACCTTCTGTTGCATCTTTTCTGGAAGTCTGATAATCCTTGGTTGGTATTGTGTAATATAAGCTTAACACATTGAGCGCCTATAGCGGGACTGAGGCGATTTCTCCGAATCGATTTTTATAAAATTCATGATCAGAAACACGAATTCGCATGCATATTAATTATAGTAAACGTTTATAATGCGACGTCAAATATTTTCGTGGTTTCACTTTGAGTGAATTATATTTTTAGTTCGACTCTCAATCACATTAAGTCTTGCTCCAATGTTATATCGGATTTATGTTGTCGTCAATTGAATTCAAAAAAAAAATAATGTTTCAATAAGCTTTCCTATGCCCTACAAAACAATATATTGCCTCCAAAATTTCCTGCACCCCCGAAAAAACACTGTAGCAAAACAAATTGCATGAAATCAACAGATCAATTTAATTGTTACATTTACACGTTGTAACAGCATTGTGGCAAGAAGCAGTATACCGGTATGCTGTAGTTTAGGGGTTCCCATTCTTTTATGGCGCGCGGCCTTCTTCCGGAGGCCTTTATCACTCATGGTCCCCTTGTTTATCATTACAGTAGTATTTATAGTGTTATTTTATTTGGTAGATCCCAAATTCCAGTATATTCAAAAAATTCATTCTCAAAACAAGTGGAAACACACTGGGAAATAACCTTATCAAGCAATGATACTAGGAAGAACGAGAAGTTTTTTGCATAGGGAAAAGTGACCAGTTTTGCGCCTAGCATTGTGGTCTCTTCCAACTGCTCCTAACCTTCTTGGAGGGCCACGTGCCACCGGTTGGAACCACTGCTGTAGTAGTTTGCGTACTAGGCCGGGTTTATTTTAATATCAATTTTTATCACTTAAATGTTAGTATGATTTTTGCGTCAATTCGCAACTTGGTGGGTGAGTCAATGAAAAAAGACAGTGGGTCACCTTTTGATTAATGGGTTAATGGTTTGCTATCCTTGTCATAATACATCACCGTTATGATACGACGTCATTGTGATTCCGCCGATGCTTATGGCGTCCTTGTTAAACCGAGGCCTCGTGAACAGGGTTGCAATATTGGATTTTCAAAGTCAAATTTAACAATTTTATCTTTTTTAAAACACGTTTGGCGTCAAAATTTCCGTTTTGGCTTTTTGATGTCTATTATTAAAATTATATGTAACACAATATTTAGTGAGCAACGTTGCAGTAATTAAAATTTAGTCTCGCGAACGCTGTGATGAACACAGGCTTGTCCATGGGATAGGACAGCACACATTTGTATTTCCCATGTATCACGAAAATCCCATGATTTTCGTGGAAATGATGGTAAAACAATTTGTTATGAACTTTGTGTCCATACATTTGAGTACAGCTCTCTTGTTAGTTATAAAGAGCAAAATATATTCAGCAATAACAATATACTTCGTGAAGGAGCTGATGAACACATGTATAATAGTTATGAATATAAAGTAACAGAGTCCGTAAATTTTGCTGTTTTGCATGTCTCTTCGTACATGTTTAACACTTTTTATTGAATTTTATCCCAACGGGAATCGCATGGAATGGGATGGGACAGGCATAATTTCTATGGGATGGGATTGGAATCGGACAGAAAAATATGTCCCATGGACAAGTCTGATGAACATAATCTGGTTCTGACATTTATTAGTGATAATTACTTCTCACTTTTAAACCCCGCATCATGCTGAAGTGGAAATCATCTTGATAGCAACCGAAATGGAAAAAGGCTTCTGTGTGGCTCACTAAATAAACTGATGGCTTTAAATCAGCATATTGTACACTGCGCAAATCCACTATTGTGCCAAGAGTTTTAAATCTGACAAAACATGGGGCACTTTTGTACATAGTAAAATTGTCGTTTTTTTTCGTTTTTTTGTGTCCTGACCTTATTTTTTTATCACTGGGATATGGCAACCCTGCTCGCGAATGGCATAGGCTAAGGCTGGCCTCTAGTGTAGGGGCGCGCGACAATGGGACATGCCATGAGCACGAATGTTGTACGAGATTGGTTTGGTGAAAAGTAATTATTGTATTTATAATAAATACCGCATAAACTTAAATCAGCATGCTAATTCACGCAACATATCTAGCTAGTGGCCTTGTTATCAGAGGTTGGTAACTGGGAATCAGTAAGAAAGCTAGGTGCAGTATAGAGCCTTTATGTCGATAAACGTGCTTCTATTGAGCGCAAATCGCAATAACCGACAAGTATATTGGCGCATGATATGCCTAGCATTTGGATTCAGCGATTCTTTGAAGCCAAACATTTCAAATTTGGTCCATCAAAAACGTCTTTAAATCAGTAGTTTGTTAGGTTATCATATTGTTTCGGCAAATGATTATTCGTTATTACGATTTTATTGAAGTATTTTTCCATGTGTTTTACGGAAGTTCGTTTTCAACACCAACAAATATTTGAACGTAGCGTGACACGCTAATAGATTATTTTGTAAACCAAAATGGGCACGTATCCCCATTTTAGTTGTGCACCCCTGGCCCAGCAGGCACTTATATCATTTAAATCTAGCCCTGGCTGGAAGCTATTATTGTAGATGTTTTACGGCCTTGTGTATATACTTGATTGGTCATACTTACAGCATGATTTAGGCGCAATTTTGACAATCGTATCGGATCTTGAAATCGCTTACGATGTGCGAATAACGATGTGTCTGAACAACATAATGTCTATAATTACCTTATCCATCCATAATGTTCATAACCTTATCAGAACGCATTACGCAGTTTAATGACGGATAAATAATATTATAATCCAGGACACCCGCGTCATCAACGTAAATTTTTCCAAATTGGTACGTCATCAGTACATGTACAAAATACCAAAGGTGTAATATATCCAAATGGTTTTTATATAGATATATATAAATTACGCCGATGGCTATAATGACGCAGATTTTGCGACCAAACTGCGATATAGTATATGCCGGTAGGTATTTACTGAGCTGTCTTCAATAGCATTAAGTGTTGTGACTTTAAGTATTATGGATTTTTTTTTAGTTTTGACGCAATCAGATGTGATCAGACCTCGCTTGGTGTTCAACAAAAATCACAAAACCAGTAAACCACCAAAATCATCTAATACGCAATGAGTAATATACGCAATGTTTATTCATAACTTTTTCAAAACGTCACAAATTGTGACAGTTGTACAGCGTCAAATTTGGTATGTAGCTCATGATTGATAAAACAGTGGGTCTAGTGACTATGATGTACGTCATTTTAGAAAAAAAAATGATCAAAAATGTGAAACTACAGAATATCGCTTAGTCTTTCATTTTTAAATCGACACCTATTCGCCACAATTGTACAAGTTCAAGTATATTGGTATGTAAATGAAACGAAGTTATTCTTTCCGCCCAATCAACCCCGCGTTGTTCATGATATTGTAGTACTGTAGGCCTACAGTATTTCAAATTGATGCATACGCATGCGAAATAGTCAATAACTCTGCTTTAACAGAAGTTAATTTTACAGAATTTTAAACTTTGTTCTATAGACTTTACTGTAGGAAAAAATACGATTATGGTTGAAACACATCATCCAATCAACGTCAAATACGCGTACATGCGTAAATGTGTGCAGCGTTTGCGAGATTCTAGATAAGTAGTGATGTGCGTACTTGTAATGCTAACCATCCGAAAAAAAATGTTGTTAATCGCATGATAATTGATGAGTACTAGAGACGAAACGAATATTTTCTCGATATAAACTTAACAAATTTTGTCCAAGCATTTATTATAGTTGAATTTTATTCTACACGATTAGCGAACAGCAAGTTTTTTTTTTGCAGCCAGAGGCAACGTAGTGATTGGCATTTGAACTTAAAAACTCAGACGTCGCCTAGCTATATAAACTTGAGCAATTTATATTGCGTACTTTTGAGCTGTATGAAAAACCTGAATTTCAATCGTAGAAATGCAACTTTGTGGAGCGTCATTGCTTTGCTTACTGCTGCATCTTGCTATAACATACCAAGACGCTTCGGCACGTAAGTGAAAAATGATTATACTATTTAGGGTAATTCAGAAAAATGAGTCGTTTCGTTATATTTGCATAGAATTTACTCTCAAAAGTACATTGATAAATATCGTAGTATTTCGAGGTCATTCAGAAAAGTGTAATACCAGATTTAACAAGCAATTCCGAAATGTGAAGGGTCACTGCAAATTATACAGCAAACATTACATACAGATATACAGAGACGAGACAACCTTAAATAATACAACGGTACGCTAATGGGTGGAAAAAGAGACTACGGCACAACTTATTTCATTTATTATGTTATTCACGTGGAGAATCAACAAACTTCACTCATCAAATGTGTTTTTTTTTTCTCCATAGAAGCTGACGAATGCGCAAGAGAACGAGGTCAACATTGTCATAAATGGGCCCAATGTGAAAGGAGACAAGAAGATCCTCGACCTCGATGTTATTGTTCACCTGGCTTCCGCGGAGATGGACAAAATTGTCATCGCGATAACAGTATGTTGAATTTATTGACAGCAATTTGAAACAAGCTTTTATGGTGTGTCGAAAACTGCGATGCCGTTAGCACATTTGGCAAATAGTAAGAAGGTCATATATATATATACGGGTTTGCGTAAAAAATATGCACTTTATATGTAATTCGTATGAAATCCCTAAGCTACGTGCAGTTCTGAGCAAATATGCCTTTCATTCAAGAAAGCAATAAAACACATACATCTATATTTTAATTTGTTTTTAATATTAAAAGAATGCATGTCACCACATACTAATTCATTAAGTTGAAAACCAACAAGGAGGTCAAGGAGGGAAGTGCAGCCAACCTGGTAACATAGAGCATGGAAGTTATAGATTAAGTGACGGATCACTGAAATCGGGGACAGTGATAACGTATGAATGTCATGGTCAATACAAACTGCAGGGAAATGATAAACGCACTTGCCAGCAACATGGTCAATGGTCAGGAACTCCTCCTCAATGCGTAGGTCAGTTTTTATTAATCTTGATGTTCAGTGTAAGCAAATATTCATAATATCGAAAAACTAAACTACACAAAAACTTCAACTCATGTGAATGCAAATTGCGGTCGTCTAACTTATTGTCTCGTCAATTGAAATAACTCGATCAAAAATTTTATTCATTCAGGCACTCAGGGACGAACAGGCGGCGGGACGAAATGTCAAAGGCCACAAAATCTTGAGCAAGGTACAATGTCCGGCGGTGGAAACTATGGGATCAACAGCAGGGTTTCGTACACGTGCAACGAGGGCTTGAGATTAGTAGGAGATTCAGAACGAACTTGCCTGCCCAGTGGTCAATGGTCAGGAACACACCCAAGATGTGAAAGTAAATTAATATTCGTAATTTTTCTCAATGCCTCATTTTGCAGTCATACAGGGTGAGGCAAAAATACCTGTCACATTTTAACAAGGCTCATGTTATTTCGTCCCCAATGCTAAAAAGTTTGCTTATTCGAATAAATCAAATAAATGAAAGTGAGCTTCGTCACTAGTAATTAGAATATCATAAACGAAAGCATTTTCAGGTACAGAATCTTTGTTTGTGTGAAAATATTCCATAATAAATGCACGGCGCTTACCTGTCCAAGCAATATTTAAGCATCAAAAAATTTCCTAAAATTTGTAATAAATCACTTGCTATTGAAATCTGTAAATAACTAAAAACAAAATGGCAGTACATTAACAACCTAAATTAAACTAAAATAAGAAGAATAACTGTAACAGCATTGTCATGTAAGTATTTAAAATGTCGGAGTTTTTTTGCCTGTGTGTACTCTCTGCAGCCAAATGATAATCACACTTTTTTGGTATCGAAATCGGGAAAGCAATTTTAAAATATAGTTCTAATTTTGATAAAAATGTCAACATACAGAAGCAACTGACTGCGAACGAGAACACGGAAAACATTGCCATAGATGGGCACAGTGCGAACGAAGACAAGAAGATAAAAAACCACGTTGCTACTGTTCGCCAGGGTATGATGGAGACGGGTATAATTGCCATCGTAAGTGTCAAAATATGGCGTGAAAAATCGAACCTCACGTGAGGGGATGAATCCTATGAAATGGTTTATATATCTTGACTCTAAAATAAAAACATCACAACTCAAATACATAATCTCACCACCATATAACATTCTTCGGTTTGGATAAAACTCTAATTGGTTCAGAGCTAAGTCCCAGGCTTTTTCGTCAGTATACTTGGTGCCGCGCCGTGTTGTTGCCACCAAATTAAACATAAAATATAGACTTACATTCAGTTGTTACATCACGTCAAGCCCCCCTTAGTGTCTTTGTCTCGCAACCAGCCCCGCGATTACAGAACATTTATCATTTAGAACGACCAAGAGACGAATGTGAAAAACGAAATCATCATCGATGTCACAAACATGCCGATTGCGTCAGAATAACAGACAAGAAGTACGAATGCAAATGTAGAGATGGATACACCGGCGATGGAACATTTTGTCAGAGTAAGCTATTTTAGCTTTATAGGCTTGGTAACAAACAAATGCTTTATTGGTGTAGACTTTGCCGAAAAAATATCCTGACGCAAAACAACAGTAAATTTCGATTGGGTTGTAATTTGGAGACCTTGGAAATATTTAACAAACCAGTCTCGACTCCAAAGTCAAATTATTTGCAAAAATAACAGCAAATGATTTTTTCAGCAGTATCCTCTAACAAAGTTGTTACATACTTAAGTACCGTACTTTAACTGGTGCGTGGCGCAAAGTTCGTTTATGAGAATTGGAAGGTGTAAAGCATGTAGGCAATAAAGTTTAACATAAACTATACTTCCATAAGTTAAATCTCAAATTGCAGGCAAAGGTTGTGAGCGGCCTACCGGTTTAACAAATGGCAAACTATTATCTGATCAACAAAGTTACGTCCGAGGCAATGTCGTGACATATCAGTGCATAAGAGGTTACAAGTTAATGGGGAATGAGCAAAGAACTTGTGGAGATAACGGACGGTGGTCTGGAACTCAGCCACGATGCGAGAGTAAGTGTACATGTTCCGCTAAAAAATATAATTTATATTTTCTCAATATGATTCTTTAAAATATGATATCTTTCAATATGTTTCTTTCTTTAAAATTACGATTTTTACATTATGTTTTAGAAATGCAAGCTATGCAACCAATGAAAAAAACTTGTACCCGTCCTCAGGACATACAGGACGGTACACTTACTGCAAGTGATTGGACATTTAAGACAGGGAGTACCGTTTCATATGAGTGTAGAAAACCGTTTAAACTGATCGGCAACTCGCAACGAACGTGTCAAGAAAACGGAAGATGGTCTGGAAGCTCTCCAACATGTCAAAGACCTAAAGGTATAAAACAAGTCATGATCTACGTTTAAGTATGACAGTGGTTCCGAATTTGAAGTTAAATTCGTACTTTGCCTATTTTGGGACTATTTAATCCTTTCTCACTATGCATAAATTTACTTTATTTGTTCAATCTTTAATTAATGGATGTTAGCTTGCTAGTTTTATGTGCAAGTCGCACTATCGTTTTTGTATAGTTTAAGTAATTTATCAAGTGTTCATATGAAAAAGTAGGGTATTTTAGTAACAAAAAAATAAAAGATAAAAATATTAGTAATACTACAGCAAATATAAAACAAAATTACTCGTCCAAAACGGCGTAATTCCACTCCGGTTGGAAAACGTTGAAGTATGGTATCTTACAGGTTACTCCCGTATAGTATATATATGTGTATCAGATTATAGGGTTATGGCATAATTTTATTACGATTTTCCGTTTTTTAGTTTTATTACGAATTCGGAGACTGTCTGTGTTATCCAAGTAAATATACCCCCTGCCCATAGGTTTCAGTTCCATTACAAATGAAAAATGTACAATAGGCGAACAAAATTGGATAAATATTTTGATTGTCTCAGGCCGACAAGACCCGAGTAGTTAAAACTTATTAATATTATCTTTAAATATTGAAACATTTTATTCCATCTTGTCCCATTTATTTTGCTGTTGAATGACGTAGCCTACTGCATGGTGTTATATATATGTAGCGTGTCCAAATCTTTCACCATTTAATGTTATTATAATAGATCGCGATCTCCTACAGCACGGGTGTGCAACATCAGAAGTGCCAAATACAGATAACCGGGTGAAACCGCGGGCCACTCTTTCTAGTAGTTACAGGCACAAATTGATCTTATGACATACGTTGATCGCTTTGCACAAGCAATAGCTGCATAACCGTCATAGGCGTAGATAATAATTTGGACCCAATTATAGGCTTTGCAAAGCGAAGGGATTGAACTACTCGCACGTACTAACTAGATTAAACTAAATTAAAAATTCGTTTCGCGGGCCGCACACAATTCAAAATTGGCACTTCTCCGCGGGACGCACAATTTTTTTATTGTGGGCCGCATTTGGCCAGTGGGTCGCAGGTTGCATGGTCGCTATAGTATTAAAGGGATTTTATGGCTCCAGTTTGATATGACATTATTTTATTTGGACTAATGATATTTCAATATCGGTATATAGGACAAAAGCGCACTCGAAAATGTCAAAGACCACAAGATATTCCTCATGCAAACATGCAGACGAGCGATTGGAATTTTAAACCGAGAACTACTGTGACGTATCGATGCAGGGATCCTTACATGCTGATAGGGAATTCCCAGATAACATGTCAGCCAAATGGGAAATGGAGCGGCCAAGTGCCTAGATGTGAAGGTGGGTTTAGAGTATTTAGTTAAAGGCAAGAATATTTAGACTAAGCCATAATAAGTGTTCCTCATTCGCAATAACATATATATATATATATTGATAAGAAACCAAGTTAGACAACCAATCGTAATCATCTAGAACTAGAGCAGATTAGTCCAAGGTTGTCGGCTACGGGGGCCACAAAATTATTTTTGCATTGTTCTCGGGCCACGATAGTGCCAAGAATAGGCAAATAGTGCAAAACAAAACAAACACTTTTATTGTGCAAACACATTGATCAGTATTTATTAAGCTAAAATATGCAAAAAGCACCAAAAAACTTACTAGAACCTGCAAGAATCTTTCTATATTTACATTTAGTGTAAGATTTCAAACATAACGGGAAAGTGCTTGCGCAAATGTAGGTGCTTTTGAACATCGATAAGATTTTTAAAGCATAATCCTAACTTTGAAAAATGCTAATTGCTCACAAGATTCTAAAATGCCGTTTTAAATTATATTCTTTTATTACCGACACAACTTGCTGGCATATCAAGCAAGCATTTTGGTATTTTCCCTCCCACATCCAATTAAAAATCTGTTTGAATTTGTCAGCTTTCTTTTCAAACTCATGTTTACAAAATAACCTTGTACAAATAACTGCAGATTGATTGATTACCAAATGTAAGGTAAAAGAGGGAAATTACTGAATTTTCTGACATATAAGCATCATTATTTTGATACTGTTTAGGCTGGTTGCAAAAACACCCGGCATAAATTATATTGTTATTAATATTTAGTCATCAGGCATATCGAACCTAGGCTAGTAGAATCCGCATTCGATTTTTAGTTTTCTATGATGCCAAAATTGTTAGCATATATTCCCGAACAAAAAGATAGAGTGCCAGGTAACAATTTAGACTGCAAGCACATCATTCAACTTTGCCTCAGCTAGTCATAACACTAGAAATTCAGTGACATTAGTGATGTAACAATATGTCAAAAGATTTTTCTGGGTAATTTTATGAAGAAACAACACAAAATCCAATTTTTCTCTCCGAGAAACGGTACGCAGATTTATGTTCAACAGATGGTCAGCATTCTAATATTTGTCTTAATATTCTAATTTGATATAATTCATCATATTACTGTATAAGTAAATGATATACGTATAAATGATATAAGTAAATGAAATATAAATTTTCATGTATATCAGGTCCCCCAAAGAAGAAAAATTGTGAAAAACCACCGAGACTTTCGAAAGGGAAAGTGACGACAAGTGACAAACAATACAAAGTTGGAACTGTCGTAACATATACTTGCTTCAAAGGGCACAAAATCACTGGGCCATCTCAACGTACTTGTCAAAATAATGGAAAATGGTCTGGTTCACAGCCTAGATGTGACAGTAAGTTTTATAGAAATCCATTTTCAGTCTGCGTAAACCTATCTGATATTCTTGATATTAAATGCCCGTCTCAATTATGCAACACCATAGGCTACTAGGTGTGCAGGAAAATTTCCAACAAATTGAACTTTTTAATTATTTTTATAAATTGTGGTAATCTATATGTATACTATGATGTACTGTATAAGGTGTCTGTGTTAAATAATTATCCATTTTCAGAAATTCAACGTCGTCCGAAAGACAAATGTCAAAATCGATGTCATGATAAAGCGGATTGCAGAGTAGAAAATAATCAGGGTAAATGTCAATGCAGAGATCAATATTTTGGTGACGGATTTAATTGCAGAGGTAAAAAAAGTAGAAAATTTCACATTTTTTTAATAACGGGAAATAAAATTTTCGGTTCCATTACATTTGAACCCACGTAGATTTGAACCCACGACAATTGCACCTATGGAAATTTGCACATACGGATATTTGAACCCATATTAACCCTAACCCATGTATTTAAGCACCCGCATAGAAATAGAACCCGCGATTATACGGGTGCAAATCTATGGGTTCAAATGTACGTGGGTTCAAATGTGCTGTCACCAAAATTTTCTTCGCTAGAATTTTTATCACGTTCCAAATAATGGCAATGTTAATCAACACATTTATTTTATTTTCATCAAGCTTGTGAAGGAGGTCAGGTCTACAACAACTGCGCTTCTAAGTGTCCCGCAACATGCGATAACCCGTCACCAGTTTGTGACAAAAGCTGTGATCAGAGCAACAAATGCCAATGTCCACAAGGAAAAGTCCTGAAGAGTTCATCGGAGAAAACATGCGTCGATTTGACCCAATGTAGGAAGTGATCACATAAATTGATCACAAACTCCGACAATAATCCCCCGTGATGAACATTAAATAATATCGTTATTCAAATAGACTTTGAAAACTTTTTCAGTTTCATCATAAAATCTTGCCGACAATTCATCTGCTTTTAAACGAATATCTTTTTCAACTTAGTTAGAAAGATGCATTTTGAAATTCAAAATTACTGGCTTAGTTATCCAACTTCAAGAAATCATGTATTCAAATTATGCGTATAATTTCCGCGTATGTTGATATCTATTGGAATATATTTCAAATAAATTACATCACTTAATTTGTTTGTTGTATTGACATGCCTATAATTATGGAGATATAGTGAGATTTTGTAAACTTTCTTCAAAAATAACACGAATATATACAGACCTATACAACGAATGTCGTATTAAGCCAGTGATTCTTAATCGTTGTGAGCCTGCCGAAACCCTGCGCTACTCTGCAAGCTCCTGTCGAACCCATGGTACTTAACGGTTGAAATTAAGAGTCCAATCCTAACTCTATAAAGAGAAAGCTAATCTCGTGCAAGGTTATGAAAATGAAAATTGTGGTGTAACCTCAGATACCAATATCCCGTTTGGAAATAGCTATTGTTTTGTCACAATAGTGTCGGCGCAGGGGAAGAAGGTGTTTTTTTTTGCTGTTCAAGTTATGCGGGTGAAAAGACGAAAAAACTGATACAAAATAGCAACTTTGAAAATGATAATATGCCTCAAAAACGTTGGTAGTTCAAGTCATTTGTTGCTCAAACCTCAAACTGCATTGAAATAAGGATAAATGCGTTTGCCAATTGTTTCATATTAAAGATATAAAGATAGGATATGACTCGGCGACATATATATCGAGTCGTCCGGAACAAATGATAATAACTTCGGGCAAAACTCTGCAACTAATTATTCTTTGTCGCTAATTTATTACATAGAAAATTCAAACACACTCTGATTTTGCATTCATTTATGTACATTTACGGCCTATCTTCAATTTATCTGTAAAACTGAGGTAAATTTTATTAGTACGGTAGAATATGAATAAGGGTCGCCAATATACTCCTTGGTTTGCCCTGACAACCTAAGATATTCGCAAGCCAAAAGCAGAAAGCATCTGAAAGTGCTATCATATTTAGGTATACACACCCTATAGCGTGCGACATCTGTGGAAAATGTACTGGAATCTAAGGAGTAATATCGACAGATCGAATAAAATTTTTATCTCTGGCAAGCTATACACACAACTAAGCTAATTTATTAGTTCCCGAACGTATAAGTTTGAAGATCTGTGATGAACCATAGTTATTTTTTGCACAGTTAGTAGGCTATAGGTAATAGAAAAGTCTCATAATATGTAGCTGTTTTAGAGGACCTCCGTCGAATCTCTGGAACAGCTCCACCGAACCCCAGGGGTTCGATCGAAGGTTGAAGACCACTGTAGTAAGAAATGGCAACATTCGCAAAGTCGTGTACTTGAAAACAGCAAACGTGTAACTGTAGCATCCGAGTATCAGAAGTTGAGTTCCCTTCCAGTTTGCAATAGTATATTACCAGGGTTTATTATTGTAACAGAACAAAAGCAAAAAGTCGCTTTCCCCATGACTGATGGAACCATCAATTACAAATTACCAGCACGTTTTGGTAGATGTAGTCACCATAATTCTATTCCTTTTTTAATTTTTACATTCGTATTTGAGTCCCATGAGTTCCGATATTTCACCCAAAATCTCTATATTTTACTTTAAATCATGACAACATTGTGTTTACAGCGTTAAGCATGATCGCCCCCGTTATTGCTGGGCTCCGTTTTGTATTGCGGACTTGATGTTCGGCCTTACTACTTAACGGTACCAATTATACACATCATTTATTTAGCACCATCACGTAATCATATGACTTTCGTGTGCATATATTTGAGCATTTCTATCTTGTTAGCGATCGCAACAATTTATAAGGCATCATCTCAGACTTGTCTTTCATCTGAATATCAGATTCTCCTGCAAAATCGATTTTCGGAATTTCACACTGGGTTGCCCGGTATCTCTTATCGGGAATACGTTGACAACCCGTAGATATCATGTGTTACATTATGACGTAATATGCCCTGTAGCGCCCCCTGTGTTTAATGTCCTTGGTTGTCCTTGTAAAACGTGGTTGTCGCATTGTAACTGATCTACTGTGCGGTGCTTTTTATGTTTACTGATAATATAGGTTGGGGATGTCGAGTCATGTGTTGAGAACCCGTAAAGCTAGATAGAGAACGATACGAAACATCATGGAAGTTCAATCGAAAATCGAACAAAAATTCTTCAATTTGAAGTGATTTTCAAATCATTCAAGATCATATTATTTTTCTGCGAGCCAAATTGCATATATATCATTGTTGGACTGCACATTTGCCATATCTGAGTGACCTAGTTCAGGTTTCCCTTTTTGACATATGTCTGTTAACTTATTTGCCGAATGATATACCACATGCTCCCACGAATATTTGCACCCCCGTGAATTTGCCTCCACGGATATTTTCACTTTGAACATTTGCTCCCCCGTATATTTGAACTCATGTACACTGCACCCGCGTACATTTGCACTCATCTACATTTGCACTCACGTACATTTACAGCCATGTACATTTGCACCCGTGCAAATTTGCACCCACGTGCATTAGCACCAATCCACATTTGCATCACGCGCGTTTGCACGTATATTCATTCTTCCATTAACATCTTTACCTGTGATAATTCCACCTGCATACATTTGTACCCACAGTCATGTTCGCTCGTGAATAACTGTAAATGGGCGGCGGCGGCGCGGCGGTGTGGCTCAACGGGCTAAGCGTTAGGAATACGCTCGCCACCGCACCTCTAATTACTCTGCGTGGGTTCGCAGGTTCGAATCCCATGCAGAGATGGTTATGTGCGAGAGGATTGCTGGACTCCTCGCCGTCGTTGGGTGGTTCACGTAACCGCTGGTCGGTTACGGCTTCCTCCACCACCAAGTCCATGCTTCCGAAAACAAACAATACAGTAAAACTAATCCCATACCCGACTTGGAATGGTAACCGGACGAGAGGCCGTGGTTCGCCATATGGATAAGCCGTCTTATCGGCTTTCCTCTCCCCCGGAATAAATATGTAAATCCTATCCTATCCTATCCTAAATATATATTTGCGCTGATTTGAAACATTTCCCGAGATTTGACCATCTCCTGCAGCGGAAGTGTTTATGAATAACAAAATCACTCATGGCCGGCTTCGATTTATTCACAAAACAATTTCTGCTTCTGCTCATGGATACGGATAAACGAAACATCTTATCTGACCCAAAGTGACTGTAAACCAAGTGAGGACAACATTGGTAACGTTATAAGCGCTCGTGTGACGTCACACCAGCCATTTTGTGTCCAGGGTTCTATCGCTGTATGATCATACCTAAGTGATTTAAACCTGCGATCGTTAAACAGCTGATTAAAAAAAAAACGATGCTTAATAATTCGGACCAAACTTTCGCAGCGGTAAAACGAATGAACATTCTTCTGAAAATTTAATTATCCGCAGATGTTTCTCAGATAATTCGGCTCGGCGGTGTGGTCAGCATATACGAAGTTAAGGTTAAAGTCATCCAACTTCACTCGATAAATCAACAACCCGATAAGACCAAAATATTAAACAAAAAGATACGCATTTTATTATTAAATTATTATAAAATTCCTTGTGTAATTATCGCTACTTGCACAGAACCTATTTTAACAAACTGACAGAACTACAATACAACTTATAGCCTACTACAGAAACTTGCACTATTTTTGCGGTACATGTCATGATAATAAAATCACAAATTTTCAACAAGGTTTACATTGCCAAAATAATATCCAAAAAATATACTACATGCATGGAATGAAGGATAACGGCGTATATCAAGTTTACAAGAACATATAATAATCTGAGGTGTCTAAAATAATATATTATCTATTTGACTTGAGCTCTTGCCGCAGGTCTACTAGCATACCGTTTTCAATAATTTTATTTGTCTCCTCTTTTGCGTGAATATTTAACCTTAAATTGAGAAAACGTTTCAAAGTTTTAAAAGCGATATTGTGGCAAGATGGGAAATTATATTTCAAGCAACTTTATCTGTCAGAAAAGTAACAGGCGAACATATATTAGGAAAGGCATTAATATTTGCGCGAAATATAGTTTATACTTCGCGCAAAAATACGACTGCTTTTTTGGATGGGTGGCATAAATATTGGGTAAAACTATCAATTTTCAAATATTTATCAGGTGTGTAAGACCTGAAAGGAGTTAGTAACGATTGTGGGCATTCATCGGGATTGACACTTTCCATAGAAACAAACAATTTAAGCCCCGTGTCTTTATAGGGTTCCCCCGAAAACATCAAGGCTAATTTGTCACTGTTGGATATCGATAAAATTACAATTAAGTTTTATCAACGAGAACGTAGAAGACATGATGGCGTCGCTAGATCACCTAGTAAATATTTTACATTTTTCGACGAAAAAGAATCGAAATGTCCTGTTAATAATAAGTTGATAAGAGATGCAACACCAGTCGCGGCGGCTGGTTTTTAAATTTTGTACCTTATAATGTACATGCTTCGATGAAATTCATTAGGCCGCACAATGTGCTAGCCATGAGATCGTTTACATTCTATAATTTTTGGAGCAACTGTTGCAACAGCACGTTAAATTGAGAAACATTTTTCCGAGAAAATTCATTTCATCAGCTCCTGGAATGATTAATGTAAAACGCAGGCTTTAAACTTTCGGCATGGTGTGAACAGGTATCATAATACCTGTTCAAATAGTACCTGATTTAAACGTATGCATTAGGTTAATGACGTTTCACACTTGCGAAGGAAAGCGATATGTTTTTTTCATACAGAACGTTGCTACGTTGCGACGTAATTGCGTAACGAAGTAATTAGGTAACGTTGTTGTTTTACTCAAGTTTGCGCAGTGGACATGTCAAGAATTGGATAACATTGAATGAAATAGCTTATACAAGTTTACTGGTGCACGATAAATTCTATCTAATGTCGAAAGCTATCTTTAACCTCTGCAAATGTGTCAATGTCATATTAGGTTAAAACAAGAACAAATCGAAGTTTTTGGTATTTAATTCAAAAGCTTTTCAAAAAAATTCCACGATTTCCAATTTTTGTATGATAATCGCAACATTTTATCTTCATCTCATAATTATAATTAGTCTCCTAGATTGTCTTTCAACCAATATAAAACTTATCTGCATCTAATATAAGGTTCGTGAGATATG